TATTAAGAGAGGGTTGTTTCTTGGAGAAGGTTTGGCTCCTGAAAGAGTCAAAATTCGGAGAAGATTCCCTCGTTATTTTTCAGGTAGGAGCCAAATCCCAATGTGCAGCATAAGTTTAACACTTTATATAAAGTGCAAGTCAAAACTGAAATGCTCTCTTCGTTCTGTAGGTTGACTTTTCGCCGCATCATGTTTGACTCTTCCTGTTTGAGGCATCGTTGAATTGCGTTAAAATTTCACTTTTTTCGCCTTCTTCTGCTCAGATTATGATTCTTATTTTGCACTAGATAGCTCGATGCATTATCTTTATTTACTCGTTCTATTAGAATATTTCAATATCGTTAGTTTTTCTTAGCTAATGACAGGAAAAAATTCTTGATATTGTCAAAAATTCCAATCCTTTTTTCGCCTTCATATTCGTTTGTTCACGGTGAGATTTGGCTAAATAGATTACGTTTCTTAACGCCTCTGCTAAGTAAATAAACTAGCTGTGTTTCGGACCTTTTTCAGTTGCGACCTCCAAAAAACGCGCCTTCGAGAGACAGCGCAGGACGCATGTGTCCCGCGGCCGCCGCGCTAGCAAAATCGCACATGTCCATCGCGGCCAAAATGACCAAAACGCGCGTTGTCGTCAACGTCTTAATGTTTTATGTGACAATCGTGAACCACGATAAGGTACTGTGGGATTAATCTCTTTATTAGGTACTCAAGCGAATCATAGAAAAATGTTTCTGACTTCAGGTTCCCAACCATTTTCTGAGCATGGAACTTTTCGGGATCAACAGTTATAAATTCCTTCGAAATGCTTGTTGTGAAAAAAGCAAGCATTGCTAAAGGCTATGAAGTACAGGCTCTAGAATGGCGCTACTGAACGTCCTTCGAAGGGATTCATGGCCAAAAATTTCGCAGTTGTAATTTTTTTGAATCTCGAGAAATCTTCCCTTCCTCTTCATTGAACATTCCTACATTTACTGTAGACCATTGTTGGGACTCTTCCAAAACAATCTTGACGCTTATACAAATCAAACTTACAGCATTTGGCTATAACAGGTGTTGCTCTAAGATACGCCACGCACGTGCCTGTTGTTCGATGTTGTGGAGCCTTCTGAAGGTCGTGTGCTTATTGCTATGGCTGTGAAAACCAGCCGTTTTGATCCTTGTCATGTTTTGATAAGAGGATATAGATGCGGTCTAGCTTCATTCAGATAACATCAACTTCTTATGCTCGACATTCTCTCTGCAACCTCAGGCAGTACTCGCATTTCACCGCGTCCATCTAGAGAGATAGACGATGAATCTAAAGTGCATGACCTTCGTAAGGTTTTCTCACGAATTCGTGAATTTGCGGATTATCTCACCTCTCCCCCACTCTACTAATCAATTATGACATCGCAACGTGGATCTAGGGGCTTACGACTCCTCAAAGCTAAATACCCCCCGCCGGCTTCAATTGTTTTACTGGTGAGTTCTTTCTGCCCAAGAGTACCTGAACAAGCTTATAGTGCTCACATCCATCTCCCCACTAAGTTCGTCGACCGAAGTGGTGAATGACTCTGCCAGGATCCGCCATCCCACATCCAAAAAATCAACGCTCTCCCAGCTACCTGGATACTCCTAAACTTATCCAATTTTTCACAGTATAGAAAATCAGGCTACTTCAGCCGCCACAAATCACTACGATGGTTACCTTCCCACCCCCTCCCTCACTCGAATAGTGCCAAAGGAAATTTTTAATGAAGTTGTCTGTCCTAAAGGGTGGTTATTGTGTTTAGTACATATGAAGATACGCCATTCTCCGGCCACAAAACGATCTACACAAATCACCTTAATTACACTGATAAGAGATTTTTTGGCGCAATGTGGCTCGGGGGGGGGGGCACTCTGAGAAAAGTCATCTAGGACTAAGCCTAAACAGCAGGGACGAACTCCGGAGAATACGAAAATTGCTTCCGTACACCGGAGTTCCTCTCCTCTTCAAAAGCTTAGTCCTAAAACGGAGCGTTTCCGTGATTTTGACGATGTTGCGAGGTGCCCCCCCCGCAGCCCATTGGCGCCGATTTTTTAAGTAAAAAATCTCGAAAGCACAAAACATTATCGGGCTAAGCAATCGAGCGCCGCAGCAGTAGTGACCATGCGCTTTATAGTGGCGATTAAGGACAGAGTATTTGGAATTAGGCCAATTGATGGGGCATGGGAGTATTGAAAAAAAAACAAAACATTTTCGGGAAGGCTCTGGCTTCTCCCCACATGAAATTTGGTGATGCAAGTTGACGGAAATATTATGCCTTTTGCCCCGTTCGACGGACATTTTTTCATGTATAGTCAGGCATACTTTCAAGTAAAATGGGAGGACTTATAAATGAGGTGTTGTGGGATCCCAAAAGTGGATCGTATAAGCCTTGCTTAAGGGTCATATTAGTCGAAGTTTTCGGAGTGTAAATCACCGTGTCATTTTTTTTCCTACAGAGCGATGTTATTCCTTTGAGGTTGTCATCCAGTTTCGCTCAGAGAGAACTGCTGTTTTTTTGATGCTGCATAATATCAGCCTAGGAAAAGCGCTGAGAAGAGCGGAAGCTTCGTGATGGTTTTGAAGATAAGCTTCAGAGCATAACCTCTACTCTTCTGTTGCGAATGTGAAAAATTCCTGATATTTCAATACTCACCTTATCTACAGGGGTATTCCTGATCTCGGCTCTCTCAGGTACTCTTCTATCTGCTTTTCGGTCAGTTTACATCCGGGATTCCAAATCATTACATCTCGATCGTCTTCGTCATCAGCGGACATGCTGAATAAAAATATGTAGTCTACTTATTATGTATGATATGAGCGCTTATTTCAGTGCACGCTACCAGACATGCTTGCATCTGAGGTACTCGCTACATTACACACGCGAAAAAGTTGCAATATTGAAACGAAGGTCTACAGAGAAAAGCAGAATACAATAATACAATAATAATAATAATATAATACAATAATAACAATAATAATATATTTCAAAGGAATTTGGACCAGAAGAAAGTGCATGAGTGGAA